AGAAAAAAAAAAAAAACGAATCGGGTTTTTGATTTTGAAAAGGCGAGCGAATTTTCTATTTTTCTTTCCTTCTTCTGTACTTTCTTTTTCTGATTACGTGAATTTGTTTTTAATTTAATTTTTTTGAGCAAATTTGGGGTTTTGGATTATGTCGCTTTTGTTTGTGTAGAAATGTTGGAGGAAACAGACAAGGACTGTGGGGAGTGACGTGGATTTAAATGAAATGACCAAATTACTCTTTCAGTCTTGTATACAAGTTTAAAACAAGCCAAGCGTGTCAGACGGCCTACCCAGATACATTAGTCGAGGTGGGGCTTAAGAATAAAATTGAAATTTCAACGTTTTAGAAAAAGAAAGGTACTTTTTTCATCTTTAAAATTAAATCTACCTTTTCCTAATTGGTGGATTAATCCACTTTAATGTTTTCAGTAAATTTTTAATTATTTAAAATTTTTTAAATAAATTTTTATTTTTTATTATATTTAATTAAATTTTTATTTTTTTATTTTAAATCAAATAAATCTTTATAACAAACAATTGACTAAGAGTCTGTTTGACTTAACTTTTTTCTAGTTTAAAAACTCTTATCAAGCTCTTATAAAAAATAATAACTTTTAAAATTAAGTTGAAAATTGTTTGGTAAATTTTTTTTTATAAGTTCTTTTTTTATAAGTTATAATTTTGATTAAAATTATCATAAAAGGTATTTCTTTTTTTGAAAGAGTTATATTGTAATTATTTTTAATAGGTGAGGATATTTTTGAAATAAAAATAATTTTTTTTGTATTTTTAAAAAAAAAGAAGAAAAAGCTCTTATGAGGAGCTTTTCCTAAACCTCTTTTTTTTAAAAAAAAATTTTTAAAATATTTTTTTAAGAGCTTTTTAAAATTTATGTTTGGCCTAACTTTTACTTTTAAGAGATAGATAAGTTAAAAAAAAATTAGGCCAAACAAGCATTAATTGTCATTCGTCAAAATATCATTTATCATTTTTATATTATATGGTGCTAACATGGCACGTTCACATGTCACTATGAATAATAACGTGGTATATTGATATGATATAATGACATGGTAACTTGGCATTTTTCACCCTTCATGTTAGTGTAACATTGACATAAAATGATAAGTCACATTTGGACTTATTGTGGTTAATCAATCGTTAGTTATAAGAGCCTATTTAATTTAAAATAAAAGTAAAAAATTTAATTGAATATAATAAAATAATAAAAAATTATTTAAATTTTTTTTAAATAATTTATAAGTTTTTGAAAGTATAATGCTATTAAAAATAAATTTTTTAAACAAAGAGGAAAAAATGTTTCGACTAAAAATTTTTATGAGAATTTGAATTTGTTAGCTTAAATGGCAATGGAATAAGGCTAAACCACGAAGAAGAGGAATTGAAAAGTTATAAACTTTTTGCAAATTTTGAAAGAAAAAATATTTGCAAGCTTTGAAACCATTTTGAAACTTTTATAGCACACTAAACTCTTGTGAAAATTTGATCTTTAGTAAAATAATAGTTTGAGAGCATGAAAAAGAAGTTTAATTTCTCTATCTTCTCAATAATTAAGATATAATCAACCATCTACTTTTTAATAGTTAAGGCATAACCTCTCTCAAAATGTAACAAATAAAGATGTACAAGATAAGATGCCTCTCTAAGGTCGATAAACTCAAATAACACAGAAAATTTGAGAAATAAATAATGAAAAGTAAATGAATTTGAACTCAATAAATATAATGCTTTGAAGACTATAAAATAAAAGGTAGAGAGAGAGAGTGTGAAGATGTACTTAATGCTTGAATCTTGTATGTTTCTTGATCTTATATTTTCAGAGTCTTCTCTTTTCATAAATGTGATGAGAAGTTTGTCGAACTTGTTAGAGTGCATTTAATACCAAAAAAGGTAATTGGTTGCTTGGATTTTGTGTCCAACAGTAAGTACTAATACTTTTAGGCATAATAATATTTAGATATGTTAGGAATGTTAGTTCTATAATGAGAAAAATATCTAAGAATGGGATAAATTGGATTTTTAAAAATTCTTTTCAATAAATTTAAACTTTTTATGAAGGCAAGTTTGAAAACAAATCTCTCAAATTTGCTTTCACTTTAAAACATACCAAACGTAATTTAAGCAAAATAATGACCAAACAAATTGAAAATAAATTTTCAAATTTTTTTAAGGCAAAATGCACTAGTGTAAAATTTTTCCGAGCTTCCAATCAAGTCAAGTTAAAAATAATTTTCATAAATTTGTTTTTCTATCAAAGTGAGCCAACAATAATTTGAATATTAAATTAAAAAATAAACAAGTTAAAAATAAATTTGATAAATTATTTAATGTAAATGCGTAAATTCAAGGAGTGAAAAATAAAGAAAGAAGACACAATGTTTTTATAAAGGTTACGCCTCCTTGCCTACATCTTTTCCCTTAACTCGTTAAGAAATTTCAAATCGATTATGAAAAATACTTTTTAAGGCTCAACTAGAACCTTTACAATTCCTTTCAAAGATAAAGCATAACCTCTCAATACAATGCTTTTTATGGATCAAGTATAATCTTCATAATACCTTTTCAAGGCTAAGGCATAAAATTTTCTCTTTTACAATTTTGAATAACAAAGATACCTCAAAGGTGGGGTTTGCTAAATAAGTACAATGAGTATAAAAATAATTACAAAAAATAGAAATGAAGGCACAGAGGAATTGTGGCTTAAAAAAGCTTAAAAGCTTGGTGGAAGTATTGAATTTGCTTGCTCTAGCTTAATTTCTCTCTTTTTTTCTTCTTTTTCTTCATAAGGTTTTATTCTTATTTAAACGATATCTTTCTTCCCTCTTCTAACCTAGTAATTGTGTTGGAAAAGTTCTTTTTATAGTAAGAGAAGTTTTGGAGCCATTGGAGAAGGTTTGATGAAGAAAATAATCATTTTTTCTTTCATTTTTGTGTGTAACAGCTAGTTATAGACTAAATATATCGATATATTTTGAAATGTACCAATACATTTTGGGCAAAACTTGTGATACCTCACATTTTATATCAGATATGAATATAATTGTTAAGACTTATGTAATAATTCAAGGCCATCACTACTAGCAACTTGAGTTTAAACTTTTAAGGTCACGTGATTTAGGTCCAAAAAGCTGTTAGGTCAGTGGTTGGACTTGGATCGTTACAAATGATATCAGAGCCATGTTCTCAGTTAATTTTAAAAATTCGTGTCTTCCAAACCACAAAACCAAACAATATGCTACAAAAATCATTGAAAATATCTTTTCAAGACATTCCCATTGGTACCCATCATGCCATTGGAAAGTCACTGGAACAATGCTGAATTTGAATAAAAGTTAAAGAAATACAAATAATTCAGGGTTTTTTGTGCGCAAACTCTGAAAATACAACTCCAAAACATACCTTTATCAGCAATTGCTTGAATGCTTTTTCCTTTTTTACTGTCTTTCTTCTTTCTTGATGTTAAGCTTTTCTGACTGTTTATCATTTGAGTCTGATGAAATAAACTAACGTGAGTTTTTTACATTTTCTTTTAAATGTGTTAAGATAAAATTGATTACTTTTATTTTAAAACATAATAAGATTAACTGATTATTCTTTTTAAATACAATAAGGTAAGACTGACTGATTTTTTTTAAATGTGATAACATAATTTGACACCAACTAAAATATATCTACTCTATATTCAAAAAAAAAAAATTTTATGTGAGGGGTATTACGTCCTCCCCTCCTTAAAAAGAGTTTAGTCTCTTAAAGTCTTACCTTGGACCTCAAAAAGATAGAGATACTTCTCTTTGATATTTTCTTCCAAATCTTAAGTCGCTTCTAGTTTTGTGTGATTTTTCCACTGCACTTTAACATAAGGAATAGTCCACCTTATCAAAACTTGCTCCTTCTTATCCACAATACATATAGGATGCTCATTATAAGACAAATCTTCTTTAAGTCTTAAAGGAGCTAACTCTATCACATGACTACAATCTGGAATATATTTCCTCAACAAGGAAACATGAAACACATTACGCATCCCTAACAAAGCAGGTGGAAGCGCTAATCTACAAGCTACATCACCAATCCCACTGTTAAAGTAAGGAGATCATACATCAACTGATGAACTAAACGTGGTTTAGGTCCAAAAGTTGCTAGGCCAGTAGTTAAACTTTGGTAATTATAAAACCATTCTATTTAAAATATATCGATACTTATAGATTAAAATATAAAAAATTTTTCTTTTTGAACCTACATTGATGTCTAAAACTAGAACATTTCAAAATCAAATACAAGGGAGGTTTAAACATAATTTAAACAAGTTTTAAAAACTATTCAAAGAAGTTCAAAAATCATTAAAGCAATTTAAAAAATCATTCAAATAATTTTGAAACTTTTCACATAAAACACTTAGGTATTTCAAAACTTATTTAAAATGTTTAAAAACTATTCAAACAAATTCAAAAACTCATTCAAGCAACTTCAAAAATTATTCAAATAAGATCAAAGATCCGTCAAGTAGTTTTGATCATTTTTCATAAGAAAACACTTATGCACTTCAAAAGCAAATGTATGAAAGTTTTTAGCATTAATAAATTAAATTCAAATTATATTTAAACAACTTTAAAAATCATTTAAACAAGTTCAAGGATCACTCAAATAAGTTCAAAGATCATTGAAGCAATTTTGATCACTTTTTTCATTTCAAAGCTATAATCATTTTAA